TTGTGGTTTCTTTTTTTGCTTTTCTTTTTTTGTTAATTTGCTTTTTTTTATTTTTCCGTTATTTTCTTTCTGAAGATTAGTAGAGTGCCAATAAGGATTAAAATATCCTTGTTTGCGTTTTATCACATTTAATTCTTGAGATGCTAAATGAATTTTAGTAATTGTTTCCGAATCTAATAAATATTTCGTTCGATACGTGAAATTTAAAGACCAATTTACAATTGAATTCCATTTTTGTTGTATTTTAAGTATACGATGAACAATATGAGGAAAATGAAGAAGAATATCTCCAAAAAATGCTGTATTTTCTAATGTAGTAGATATTGCTAAAAAGAAAAATATATAATTTTTCAATTTTGCAAAAACTTTTTTTATCCTTAAATATCTTTAATATATTTAAATATATTATCAATAAAAAAAATTACCATTTTGTATGCTAATATTTTGCGGCAAAGATCTATTATCTGGATTAAAACCGCCACTTTCGATTAGTATTTTACTTGCTTCGATTACTTCAATCATCTTTTCACCGAGAATTGTGATCATTTTGTACAAATGTTCATAATTATCTATTTTTTGAAGACGTTTGATAGCTTCGGTATGTTCCTTGCGTTGATATTCAAATGATTTTTTGACTAATAAAATTTTAGTTAAGGTATATTTACAAAATTAAGTAATGAAACAATGAAAAGGAGATAATATATCATACTTGCATATTTTATATTATAAATAAATAATATATAACAATTTTATATGTTATATATAATATCTATATAGATCTATACTTACAATATCAATATATTATTGAAATAAGAAAAATAAAAAATAACAAATATAATACAATAAATATTTTTAATGGATACATAATTCTTCGAATACTTTAATTTGAGATGAATTATTATGTGGATTCTTGCTAATTTGTTGCTTTTCTATAGTTGAAGAAATATCTTGCGCATGTGCAATATATGTCAACATTGACACGACTACAATATAAATGAGAACGCGTGGCATTTTATCGAATAAAAAACTGTTTGAATATAAACGACATAACAATAAAATACTCATATTGAGACAAGAAATAGTTTTTAATTATTAGTGATCTTCATATTTTATCAAGAACAATTATATAATCTTAACCAATATTTAATTGAAATAAAATCACAAGTTTACAAATGCGACATTATAATAGTGCTGCCACCTATTAACTTTAGTATATCGAATGTGTCAACGTTAGTATCGAAATTTTCGAAAATAGTTAAAAGATATGCAAACAATTATAATTATGTGACAATAATTTAAATCATGATATATGTATGTATCTTTTTAGATTTTTTTATTAACATCATTCTTAAAAAAAACCAAATTGCATTAACTTCCTGTACATATAATAATAGTGTAATATTTAAGATATTAAGAAAATATTGAAAATTTAATTCAAATAACATACATATGGCATAATGATTTGATCTGCTATGACGATATTTGCATTTGATATCCAAATAATTTTATAATTCGAGTTACATATCCACAACAAATATGGCAGCGACAGATGATACAAAACTCGATGTAAGTATATTATAAGTACTTATGTGATACTGTATATTAGACATGCGATATTTTTTATTTTTTTTTAAATACATTTGCTTTTATGATTTTTAAATGTTTTTAATTTTATATAATTAATTTTTTAATAAAAATATTGAACATAATAAGTTTTTCATATATATATAGGAAATGAATAATAATAAACAAATATAGCAATATTAATATATTTTAATTTTAAGTTTAAAGTTACAATGGAATATGCTGATCCTCAGAATATTGAAGGTGAATTAACAGTAGGAGCCAAACAAAAATCAAATCTTGGAGAACCTGAATTTAATACTTTAGATGAACCAATCAGAGATACAATTGTAAGTAAAAAAAAATTTTTTATATAATATTGTTTGAGCATGTGAAAAACTTTTTATCATAAATTTAAAAAATATATCAATTCATTAATTATTATTTATGTTTTAAAATAATAATATTTTTATTTATTATATTTATTTAATTTTTTCATTATATATTTAATCTAAATTACTTATACTTTTTTATTATTTTTACTATTACTTATACTTTTTTAAATTACAGCTCAGGGATGTTCGGGCAGTGGGTAAAAAATTTTATCATGTTTTATATCCTAAAGAAAAAAAAAGCTTATTGAAAGAATGTAAGTTTTTAAAAATATATTTATATTATAAATTATTATTTCATTTTTAACCAAAGATATTTTTAATTTCAGGGGATCTTTGGGGACCACTAGTATTATGTACATTTATGGCAATGTATGTTCAATATTTGTACTATGTTCCAAATGTTTTATTTTATAATTATCATAAACTTTTCATTATTTTAGGATATTGCAAGGTTCTTCTGATACAGCAAATAATTTTAATGATGGAGGACCAGAATTTGCAGAGGTTTTTGTAATTGTATGGATTGGTTCCATGGTTGTTACTTTAAATTGCAAATTATTAGGTGGTAATATGTAAGTATTAATAATTATAATGTTACATGAATTTTATATATATAAATTTGTAGAAATTATTAAAATATTATATATTTTTAATAATTTTTTTTATTTGAAAAACAATTTATTTTGAAATCCTTTTATTTCATAAATTTAAAATGTTATAATAAAAAATGAAAGCAAAAGAAATTTATTCTATATTTTCTATTCATTATATTTATCATATTTAAAGATATTTTAATATATTTATTATAGATCCTTCTTCCAAAGTATTTGTGTCTTAGGATATTGCTTGTTGCCAACTGCCATTGCTTTAATTTTATGTAGAATTATATTAATCACAGAGCAGACTACTTTCTTATTTATTCTAAGGTTCATTATTACTATGATTGGATTTATGTGGGCAACATATGGTTAGTATAAGTTTGTTAAATTTAACACATAAATTTTTATTATATTTTTAAATCTGTAAATTGCAAATATGATTTGTATATATTTTAGCATCAATGGTATTTCTTGGTGACAGTCAACCAGTAGGAAGAAAAGCTTTAGCTGTATATCCAATATTTTTATTCTATTTTGTAATTTCATGGTTAGTTATATCTCATACTACATAAAATAAAATATAAAATAATTATAACAAGAAGACTGTACATTTTTTCATATTTATGCGTAAAATAAAATAAAAAATTGAAAATCTAGGAAAGCTTTAAAAAAAATTCATATATACATTATATATTAAGAATTGTAGATAAAAATTATTATTATATATTAGTTATTATTATGCATTTTAGAAATTCATATTAGGAAATATAAATTTATATGTCAATTATTCAATTATATATACATATATATATAATATTAATTTAAGGATAAAATAACAAATATTGATTAAATAAATTATAATCAAATTGTTATATATTTATACATAAACTTGGTAAACAAAAATATCTATCAAAATACAAATGAAAATTTTTATTTCATTCATTTTAAACTATGATTGACTATGTATAATGTACAGAGAAAATATAATTATCAAATATTTTTATTATAATTAAATTATTATTAACTATTTTTAATTATATTATAATTACATTCCTATTAAAATATTCATTTTTTTAGTCATTTAAAAATATTAAATGAAGCAATATTAGATCGTGAGATTTATACTTTTTACATACATATATATTATGTAAGTAATATTAATTGTAAAATTAAAATCAAATATCAATAAAATAATACATTTTACATGATATAAATAAATTTCTATTTTTTCTATTCACACATGTGAAAAATATCTCTCTAATTTGTTCAGAAGAGTTTTACTATCATAATGATTAGGATATGTATTTAAAGACTTCTTTATAGCAATGTAACTTGTTTGAAGATCTCCAATCTATAAAATTTTTAAAACAATAAAAGTATAATACTATATTAATATAATATATTATTACAATATACAATTATAATACCTCGTAAGCTAAATAAGCACTATTAAAATGAGGCTCATGAATAAAGTTAGCAATATTAGCAGCAGCATGAAAATACGTTCTTGCTGCTGTTATATTTTCATTTCGAATTTGTATAACTCCAAGATTATTATATGCTAATGCATGCCTATTGTCATTAATGATAGCTAATTTTAGACATTCTTCTGCCATCATTATATCACCTACTGTCTAAAGTATTTGATAATTAATAATAAAGTCTATATATAATAAAAAATTTTTAATCAAACTTTTACTAAAAAAATAATTTTAAATATTATTCATATAATTAAATGTTAAAAAAAAATAATATACATACAATAGCAATGTGAGAAATATTATACCATATATCTGCTATATTTTCATCAGTTGAAAGAGTAATTGCTCTTTCAAAACAAGATATAACATGATCATATTGTTGAGCATAAAAACAACATAGTCCAAGATTATTAAATAATTCGGCATTGTACACTCCCATTTGTAATAATCGTCTATTCAGATAAATAAAAAATTGATTTCAATTATATACTTACTTATTACATCTATATTTGTATTTACCTATAATATCGCAAAGCTAATTCAGGTTGATCATTATAAAAATGATATATTCCGATACTAGCTATTGCTTCTGTATGAGAAGCATCTTCTTGAGCAATTATTTTATAATATTTTAATGACATACTCATATTATTTAATCCATCAAATATCCGTCCCATTTCCGTAAGAATATTCACATCATTATTAAAATATTCAAGACCTTTTTTACATGTATCTAAAGCTGCCAATGGTTGATCAAGTTTAATGTAAATTCTGATTAATCGTAAGATTACTTCAATAGTTTTAAAATCTCTCAGTGCTGATTTAAATTGTTGTTCTGCATCTCTAATCATTCCTAAACTATAATAACATTTACCAAGTTGTACTTTCCACCACCAATCTTTATATTGACAAATTTTTGTTGCTTGTACTGCTAAATCTAATGCCTACATATGTTATAATTAATTAAAATAAAAATATAATAATAGTTAATAAAAATTATGAAATAAATATTAATGTTTTTTATTAATTACAAATATTGAATAATATGCATTTACTTACATATCTTATATCATGTTCATAATAATATATATATTCAAATAATGATTTAGCAATATTTGGTTGATTAGCATATTTAGAAATATTTAAACGTGATAGTTGTATAAACGGTCCTCCTGGTTCTGTTAACATGGATGCTGTACTTAATCTATCATAATATACTTAAATTAATTTTAAATAGATAAGTATAATAATAAATAAAATGAAAATTTATTAATTAAAATTAAATTTATTAATTATACCTAATATTTCGGCTAGAATTTGCAGTAATTGGTCTAGCTGTCATAGCAACTCTGGGTGTCCTTAAAGTTTGCTCAATTGATTGAGATATAGCAGATTGAGTAACTGGTCGTATAATACCAGTAAGTGGTCTACCTTTGAAGAGATATTATATTTTTATGTTAAAATTCTATATTTAAATTTCTTTTTAATTATGTAATACTATAATTATTTAATATTATTTTGAATTTTCAAAAATTAACCTGATTGAGTTTTGGGCCGAAGATATTGTCCTGTGAAAGAAGTACCAGGATTTTTTAAAGATGTTCCTGGTCTAGGCATAGAAGATATTGTATAATTATCTAATAAACTTTCAGCAATTCCTTCTTCTTCTCCTTCTATATCATCTATATATACTTGTAATGTTAAGGCACGCATTTTTAAGATCCATGCAGTCTATAATAAAGATCTATAAAAATATAAATTATTATATAAAATTGATATTAAATGTACTTATACCTGATCAAGAGGATTTTTTTTTAATAAATCTGTACATATTGTTGTACATTCTTCATATTTTCCTCTATTGAATAGGCTTAAAGCTTTAAATAATTCCATGATTTAATAAAAAGATTAATAAAAAAGACTGATAAAAATATTTTAAAAAGACTTTTATAAAAATATCAATTTTTGAAAAAAATGTATATTTTAAAAAAACATATTTTATACAAACAAAATATATTTAAATATACGATAGAATGCAAGCGAATTTTCCATGCAAGAAAATATTGATTATCTTATAACTCTGTTTATAGATTAGGGAAACAAAGTATATCATTTTTTATATTTTATCTAAACATATTTAGGATTAATATATTATATTATTAT